TCACTCTCTCTAAAAATATCAATGGAAAAATATCCTTGGGTGAGGGTTAACAAAATAAATAGTCACTATTTATTAAAAGGACTGCAAACTATAAAGGAAAATATGGAAATTTAACTGCATTCATATTTAAACCTACCAGATAATAAAGAGAAATGAACATACATAAAAATTAAAAGTGACACCCTGCCGAAACCGGTTTGGCTCGGTGGTAGAGCGTCAGTCTGCGGACTGAAGGGTCCCAGGTTTGATTCCGGTCAGGGGCATGTACATTGGCTGCGGGCACATCCCCGGTAGGGGGTATGCAAGGAGCAGCTGGTCGATGTTTCTCTCTCATCGATGTTTCTAGCTCTCTATCTATCTTCCTCTCTGTAAAAAATCAATAAAATATATTAATAAAAAAAAAATGACACCCTGAGAGAGAAAATACCTGCACTATATGACAGGTGTCAGATTAATACCTAGAACAGAAGTCACCAACTCCTGAAAACTATCTGGCTTTGTAAATAAAGTTTTATTGGAAACAGTCATTTCCCATTGGTTTATGTATTGCCTACAGCAGCTTTACACTATAATAGCAGAGTTTCATAGTTGCTACAAAAACTGTATGGCCTTTAAGGCCAAAATATTTAATATCTGGCATTATATAGAAAAAGTTTGTGGCCGAAACCGGTTTGGCTCAGTGGTAGAGCGTCGGTCTGCGGACTGAAAGGTCCCAGGTTCGATTCCGGTCAAGGGCATGTACCTTGGTTGCGGGCACATCCCCGGTAGGGGGTGTGCAAGAGGCAGCTGGTCGATGTTTCTCTCTCATCGACGTTTCTAGCTCTCTATCCCTCTCTCCTCCTCTCTGTAAAAAATCAATAAAAAATATATTAAAAAAAAAAAAAAAAAAAAAAGAAAAAGTTTGTGGATCCTGACGTAGAATATATACAGAAAACTCCTACAAACCAATGGGTGTGGGGAACTAACCCAATTAAAAATAAAACAAACAGCTGAAACCGGTGTGGCTCAGTGGATAGAGCGTCTGCCTGTGGACTTCAAGGGACCCAGGTTCGATTCCAGTCAAGGGCATGTACCTTGGTTGTGGGCACATCCCCAGGAGGGGGTGTGCAGGAGGTAGCTGATCGATGTTTCTCTCTCATCGATGTTTCTAGCTCTCTATCCCTCTCCCTTCCTCTCTGTAAAAAAATCAATAAGCCGAAACCGGTTTGGCTCAGTGGATAGAGCATCGGTCTGCGAACTGAGGGATCCTAGGTTCGATTCTGGTCAAGGGCAGGTAAATTGGTTGTGGGCACATCCCCGATGGGGGGTGTGCAGGAGGCAGCTGGTCGATGTTTCTCTCTCATCGACGTTTCTAGCTCTCTATCTCTCTCTTCCTTTCTGTGGAAAATCAATAAAAATATATATATATTATATATTTTTTTAAAAACAACTCACGGCAAACAATAGAAACTGGCAATGCACAAAAGAAATAAAATATATTTAATAAATATGATAAAGACAGGCTTAACATCACTGGTAATTAGGGAAAATATTAAAGAATTAAATCATTTGATAACATCCAATCCTGGCAAAGGTACAACACAGCCATTTTAGGAAGGCAATTTAGTAATACCTGTAAAAAATGTAATAAGTCTGATGTTAATCCAGTCACCTTTTTTAAGTATATGCCCAGAGAAATACTTGCATTCATGCGGACACACATGTACCCAAAAGCATTCAGAAAGCCATTCGTGGAAGCATTCCCTGTTCATAACAGTAAAACCCAGAAGTAACCTTGCTGCCCATCAATACATAACTATCATACATACCTGGTGGTACACTGTGCACAATGAGTTTTGTACATTTGTATTTAATACCATGAGGAGAGTTGTAAGATGTGTTACTAACCAGAAAAAAATATGTTGCAAATACGTACACACAGTTTAGGTTAAGAAAGGTTTTAACTATGAATTTGAGTCCATATCTAGCAGGAAGTGCACAGGAGAACTGAAGGACAGATGCTATCCTGTAGACAGGGGCCGGGGCTGGAGGATGCCCGGACAGGGAAAGGATTGCTGCTTACTACTTTGCCTGGGTCACTCTGAATTCCAGTCCTGAGGAAAGACTACGGAACTGAGCTGGCAACCTCAAGGGCCCTAGTGGAATACCCAAAGCCTGCTCTCCAAGGAACCTTCTGGAACATAATCACCCTTGACACCATTCTCCTCCCCACATGTCTGTGCAATGACCACTGCAGACCTTTGTAGGGGGAGAACAGATGAAGAATCCTGACTATGTCCCCGAAGTGGGCAAGCTGCTCCCTTCTCTGGGATTTGGTCTTCTCATGGTTAAAAGTAGGTTAGCTGATCTGAAGGCTCTTCCAGGTCTGAGGCTACGATGCAGTCCCTAAGAAGTTTCTGTACCTTTCTGGGGGAAAACAAACAAAAGCAAAAGCCACAGCTGTGGGAATAAGCTCAAATCAGACGCCTGGGAGAAATGCCTGCCCCTGGGACCATGACATCCCAGGGCAAAAGCCAGTTTCACTGACTTCAGTGTCCTCGCCTCTTAAAGGGGGCGGCCTCAATTACCGCTGATCTATCTTCCAGCCTCGATGGTCTAAAATAAGCTCAGGGCAGAAAAGGGAGCAGGAAGCAAGGACTTGGGGAGACTGATGGGAACCAATTGGCTGAGGTTTTCTAAAGAAGCCGGAGGCTGAAAGTAAGACGCTGGGGTGGTGAGGGAGGGCCGGATGCAGAACGCGGTGAGGGCTCTTGGCAACAGCCCTGGTCCCCCTCCTCTCTTCCAGAGCAGTTTCTTCCTGAAAGATCCCAGGAGGTGGAAGGCTGACCTAATCTCCTGCAGCATAAATAGCCGCACTCATTATTCCAGAAACTGCCTTTCAGGCCTGCTTTAAAATCAACAATTCAACTGTGAACACAGTGAAAAGAGGAAAAGTACTTTGAATGTATAACCCTACTCCTTTGAATCAAATTAATTATCAACAGATTTTTAAATTTTTTAATAGATTCAACTCAAGCATACATATTTCATTCTAGTCAATCTAAACCTAAGAATTGGAAACAAACCCTCTGACCACTGCCTGGAATAACCAGGAAACTCTCAGAACAACTCCGCCAATCTCAGTGGCCTCCTACCCCACGTTAACTATTCCAGAAGTATTTGTTGTTTGTCTTTTTAAATGGTAAGAAAAAAAATCTAGTAAAACATCAGTCCTTGCTTTTCACAATAGCCTGGTGAGTGAGGTTAAGTCAGGAATCTCTACTCCGGTTTATAGAAAAGGAAATGAACGAGCCCAGCCAGTGTGGCTCCAAGGTTGAACATCGACCATGAACCAGGAGGTCAGGGTTCAATTCCCAGCCAGGGCACATGCCCCATCCCCATGCAGAAGGCAGCCAATCAATGATTCTCTCTCATCACTGATGTTTCTATCTCTCTCTCCCTTCTTCTCTGAAATCAATAAAAATATTTTAAAGGAAATGAGCTGTTCAGAGGCAAAGGGACTTACTTGTTCAAGGTCATACAACTGAAAGTGACAGCCAAGACCAGAAGCAAGGTCTCCTGGCTCCAGGTCCAGGACCCCGTTAGCACGTAAACTGCTTCCCAGAAAAAGGCATCGGTCATGAACCGGCCCACAGCCAGCCACCCAGCCAAACCCGCGCTCCCCGAGCGCCTGGCCCTCTGGCCTAACGATCTTACGACCCGCAGCCTGGGTGCTAGGCTTTGGTCGTCCATGGAAGGAGTCTTCCTGGCTGCTGGGAACCTGGCCTAGAGGAAGGCATATGTCCCGGTCACAGCTCCTGCCCTAACACCCAACTCAGCGAGGAGGGACCTGTGAGCTTGGCGGCAGGACAGCGTCTTGCTCCCGGGCTCTTCTGAGAAAGCAGGGTAAGCCAGGTCTCCCCAGGACGGAAGGTCTCTCAGGGGCATGGCAGGAGCTCTGGAGAGGACAGGGTCTGGAGGGGGGGGGCAGGGGGGCACAGACACCCCCAAGGGAATGAGACAAGGTTGGGTCAGGAAATCCAACAAATCTGAAAGCCCCCAAGATCTCTGTGTTCCCCAGGAGCTCGGAGGGCAGCCAGTGCCAGGTTCCCCAAGACAGTGGGCCACAGCCGGACTTCTTGGGGAGCTGTTACCAATACAAATGCCCTCCTCTGCTGGGTCACTCCAGGGCTGGGCCCAGGACCAGTATTTGCAAAGAGGCAGGTGTGGGAGCTACAGAACCGTCCTAGAGCCCTCATCTGACTGATAAAGGAGAAGGGAACCGACTTCCCCCAGGACCCAAGGTCTCCTCACCTCTTGACAAGTGATGGGCGGGCTGGGCGAGAGAGGAGCCCCAGCCCTACCACCAACAGAAGGCCCCCCAGCTTAAGTTCAAGGGCAAGACCCCCCTCCCCAGACTCCCACCCCTTGACGCGACAGTAAGAGAGAACGGGCAGGATGGGTCTGACAAGCGGGACCCGCAGTCCACCCACCAGCCCCGCTCCGGCCACCTCTCTGTGGGGGACAAGTCCAAGTCGGGTCCCACGACAGATGGGGGGGTGGGGGGGTCCTGGGAAGCAGCAAGAAGTCCTCGGCGCTTTGTTCATACTAAGAAAAACCAGGCATTTTTGAGTCACCCAAAAAGCATGAATCACACGGCAGGGCGATGGGAACGGGAAAGGATGTTATTTTTCGGCATACTTGAGGATTTTCCCTTTGTCCCAGGCCATCAATACACTCCCCCCCCCCCAGCCCCCTCTCTCCCTTCCTTTTTCTCCCTCCCTCTCTCTCTCTCTCTCACACACACACACACTCACACTCTCACACCCGGGGCTCAAGGCATTTTTCCGGCTTTTTTTCATTTCCCCGGAGTTTTCAGAGGCACCCAGCCGCGCCCGCCCCGGGACAGGCAGCGCCGCCTCCTTTCCCCGCGGGGCTGCGGCCCCGGGCGCCGGGCGGGGAGGGGCTGCTCCGGCGCGGCCTCGGCCTCGCAGGCCGGCCGCCTCGCCGGGCCCGCTCACCTGCGTCAGGTCCTCGTCGTTGAGCAGATGCGACTCGCGGGGCTTGAAGCAGTTCTGGCACTTGCTCTTGTTGAAGATGTTGGCCTGGAACTTCCGGCACGGGTTCTCCTTGGCCGCCGACATGGCCGGCGCGGCGGCGGCGAGGCCCAGGCCGGCCCGGCAGACGGCGGCAGCAGGGGCGGCGGCAGCATGCACGGCGGCGGGCGGTCAGCGCGGGCGCCGCGGCATGTCCCCGCCTCGCGCCGCGGGCCGCCGACGCAGGCCGAGCGCGCCCCCGGCGGGCAGGGCGGCTCCGCGGGCCGGACGTGGGCCGGGCCCTCACAGAGCGCGCGGCGCCCGCCGCCCGCCCGCACAGCCCCCGGCCGGCCGCCGCGGGCCCATGGACGCACCTCCCGGGCCCTGCCTCCGCGCTCGGCCCGCCCCTCAGGCCCCGGGTCGCCGCGGGCCCCTGCGCTCGGTCCGGCCGCCTCTGCCCCGCGCCCAGCGGCCGCAGCAATGGGAGCGGAGCGCCTCGCGCACTCCGGGCGGGCGGGCGGGGCGGGCGCGGGGGCGGGGAAGCACGCGGGGCTGTGCGGAGCGGAGCCTCGCCCCGACGCGATCGGCGGCCCTGCCGGCCAATGGCAGCGGTGAGCTTCAGCTAACAAAGAAACCTCTCGGCCAATGGGAGCCGGGGGCGGGACAAAGCAGTGGCGTAAGGTAGCGTGTAAGCGGGGAGGGGGCGCGCGCGGGGACGTCAGTCAGGTTTGGTGGACCGGCGCCGCGGCCGGCGGGCTGACAGCTGCAGGGGCGGGAGCCGCGGGGGGAAGGGGCGGACCCGACCTCCGGGCGGGCTCCCTGCAAACCCTCCATTCCAGCGGCGCCTTCCCGAGCCTGTCTCCAACCGGAGCCGGGCCTGGACCTACTGTGTGCCAGCCCTGCCTCCCTCCATCGTAGAAATCCCAGGCAGCATTCCGAGAAGTTATGAAACACTAGGTAGGCTTCAAGGATGACTCAGAGATGTCAGCCTCCCAGAGCTGTCAGTCCTGTTATGGGCGGTGAGTAAAGCGAACTGTATGCCACACACTAAGTTAGGAACTCCTATCCCCATGATTGGTTGAAGTAAGGCTGAAGCCCGAATCAATCTGTGCAGCCTCCCGGCCCATAGACCACCTGGAGAGAATGGAGAGAGGCACGGGCAGGAGACGCAGGGAGCCCAGAGCGGGAAATGCACTCTTTGGGGAAGTAGGGGCGCTTCGAGGAGGCAGGGAAGTGTAAGCAGATTGTGAGAGATGCGGAGGAAGGAGCAGGACAGACCTGATGCCAGGTCCCCAGGACTTGGATCCAAGCTCAGGCATATAAATGTCATGGTGCTAGCCCCCAGGACTAAACTATCTGAGTCTTTAAACGGGAGTGAGCTAACTCACCGCTCACAGCGGAGTGACATTGAAACACGGATTAGTGGCAGGGACAGCTGCTGTTGCTTAGGGAACGGGAAGGTTCTGGGAGAGAGAAGTAGCAAATGCTTCCAGAGCTGTGTACTTTTCCACTGATCATCTGGTGGTGATCCGATCCTAGGGAGGTAGATTTCAATATAGTAAGAAAATACTTTCCTCCAAAGGGAACTGAAGGAAGGCGGGTCAGAGTCCTCTGCAGCCTGAGGAGAACACGAAGCTCTATCCCTCACGAGCTCTGCGGCCCCCAGCAAGTCCCTTCGCTGCCGCCTGCCTCAGTCACCTCATCTACACAATTGGCATGATTGTGTGGTTGTTGTGAACATTACATGATATAATGCTGTAAAATATTGAGCATAATGTGGCAAAATGTTAATTTGTGGATCTAGACAATGGGGATGTAATGTGCCATTATTGCAACTTTTCTTTTGGTTTAAAATTTTGCAAAGTAAGGGGGGGGGGGGTGAGGAGGGAGAGAGAGACACACACACAATTCTTGTTTATATAGAATGCGCAGAAATTGATACCAATGGTTGCCTCTTGGGAGGAGAGCTGGGTGGTTGAGCAACGACCTACTTTTAATTTTCACTGTAAGCCCTTTTGTTCTCTTTGGATTTGATATTGTGTGAATGTACAACTTGTTTGAAAAGAATTTCTGAAAGTCCTACCATGCCTCAAGGCCAACTCAATGGCCACTTCCCTTAAGAAAAGGCTTGGCACGTTCTGCTCAGACCCGTGGACACTTGCAGCACCTGCCCGGACAGGAGGGGCCACAGCTGGGCACACAGAAGCATTTGAGTCGAGCCTGCCTGGAAGGAGCTCACACTTAAGCAAGTGGAGAGACAGGAGGCAGACAGACAGATTCCATCCAGGGAGCTGAGATGCCTACAAGGCACCCAGCTGGTCTGCAGCTTCAGGGACAGCTCCTGGCAGGAGGTGGGGCCTGGGCTGAGTCTTGAGCTGACTGAGACGCAGCCAGGAGAAGGGGGAGGCAGAGCAGCTCAGGGGAGGAGCTCTGTCAGGGTCTTGAAAGCAATGGGTGTGTTCATGATGTGACTGGGTAGTTCGGAGAGATGAGAGTAGCAGCAATGAGGATTATTGGGAGGATTAAGTAGATGTGCATTTGGAGGTTTAGCATATGCGTGTGAATACCTATTATGACAGATTAGAGTTCAACCTCCTCAGGGAGATCGGTGTTGTTGTTGTTGTATAATTATTTTTATCTCCATTTTACAGAAAACAAATATGAGGCCAAGGTATTTAAAGAGCTTGTCTATGGTCAGAATACAGACCCTCTACGCCAGGAGGCAGGCCCAGGAGGCTGACACCAGAGTTGCCTGGGCAATGGAGAGCCATTAGCTCACATTTTTAGATAAAAAATAAGGGCTGTTGGTCTGGAGAATGAATCAGAGGCAGAGGACTGGAAACATTATCCATCAGAAAACTACTACATTAGCCCAGGAAGTAGAGAAGGCAGGGACCTGAACTAAAATAGGGCCAATGGGAGAAGAAGACGATAAATGTGGGAAATATTTAGGAGACAGAATACATATATTTAATCTCAGACTGTGCTACGTTCCAAAACCTGACTAGACTGTGAGCACCATGATGGCAGGACGAATCCGGGTTTCTGCTGCAAGCCTAGTGCCTAGTTCAGTGCCTGGCACAGGGTAGGTGCTCAAAGAGAATTAATGACCACTTACTGCTCTTTTATCGTCATATCTTCCACCCCAGATTATAAAACCCAGGCAAACAGGGTTCCAGGGACATAGAACAACACTATGCACAGGGCAAATATTGTGAACAGATCAGCATCCAGTGGATTGGACACTTACGATGTGCTCACTTTATTGTATATCTTAATGTATAATGTATATCTCAAGGAAATAATAAAAAGCACGCAATGCAAAGGCCTCTCAAGGGGGCCCCAAATCCAGATAAATTCTGCTCTGTGTACCTGACAACTGCCCTGGGACGTGTCTTTGCATCATCCAATGAGGGAGCAGAGCTTTCATATACACACACACACACACACACACACACACAACACTCGCACACACACACAACGTGCACACACAGGTACCCACTCTCACATGAAGCTGTAAAACTCCCACACACACATACACAGGCACACACCCACAAAAGGTAGCCACTATTTGATCTCTATCACCACCAGGGTCCCAAATGAGAACTTCAAATCCTTGCAGTTTGGTCCAAAAAGCACTGTCCTGGTTGGTCAGAATGGAGCCACTCTGATTGGTTGGTGAGGATGCTATGAGGCCATTATAGTAGTGCAGCTCCAATCGGACAGGGGGATTTCAGCCCCGTTGGTTGAAATACTATCCCAGGAGCTCCTTTCAAAGCTGGCTCAGACCTCACACACGACACGGTGCAGACCCGCAGGCTTTCTCCGGAAGGATGGCTTGCATGAGGAGCTGCTATGCTCTGTTTTTTAAATTTAAAAATATACATATATTTTATTGATTTTTCACAGAGAGGAAGGGAGAGGGATAGAGAGCTAGAAACATAAATGAGAGAGAATCATCGATCGGCTGCCTCCCGCACACACCCCCACCGAGAATTTGCCTGAAACCAAGGCACATGCCCTTGACAGGAATCAAAGCCGGGACCTTTCCAGTCCGCAGGCCAATGCTCTGTCCACTGAGCCAAACCGGTTCCGGCTGTTTTTAAATTTGAACCCAGTCAGCCACCACGAGCCCTTCTTAACCGGTACATTGATTCTTGGGGTCAACATAGTGTTTGTTTCACTTAATAGGAAACTGCCAAACAGTTCTCCCAACCTGAGAGCTGCTCTCCTCCCCCCTCTCTTCTAATCTGTATGTTTACTAAAAGACCCCTCTGGAGGGCTTTCTGGCCAATAGGTGTGATGTGCACTGACCACCAGGGGGCAGACGCTCAGCGCAGGAGTTGCTGAACTACAGCAGCTTTGCAGAGTGCCCTCTTGCACTCTGGGACCCCTTGGGGAAGATGGACTGCTGGTTTTGGCCCGATTCCCCGTAGGACAGGCCAAGGGACCCCTCCTGCCAAAGGGATCCCTCTCACTCCACAGACGCCCTTCGAGCTGCAGCACCACCAGGTATGGCCAGCCACGGAGGACGCAGGAGGTTGGCTCCAGGGTGTGTCTGACCCATCTCGTCCTGTCCCACCCCGCCCTCCACACTCTAATTTTCTTTCAATGTGCACAAATCCATGTACCAGGCCTCTAATAATTAATAATAAGACTCACCTGGGGGGACTTAGAATAATATATGCACGGGGCCTTCCATGGACATTCTGATCAGTTTGGAGCTCAGGAATCTGTTTCTTGAATGTGTGTCAGGCAGCATTTCTTCTCTTTATGGAAGTTTTAGAAACAGGGAATGGAGCCAAGGTTCTCAAATCCTGGGAGATCTCAAATCCTCGGGAGATTCTAATGTCCAGTGTTTAAGGGAGAGTGGAGCAGAAAAGATGTTGAGGTCAGACAGATCGGGGACAGTCCCAGGAGAGGCCCCTTCCCCGGTGCCTGTTGCTGCATAAAACACCCCACTCCTCCCTAAAATAGCAGCTTTATTGCCGTTCTGTGAGTTGATTGGGCTCCGCTGTTCTTTCATGCAAGTGCAATCAGAGGTTGTGTCCAGTGGAAGGTGGGGGGGGATCGCCCAGGGTGTGAACCCTAGGAGAGGGGTGCACAGGGGCCATCTTTGCCACCAGCTCCCACAAGTCACGTCCATTTCACTGAGTTATTATGAGGACCAAATAAGTTTATCTCCATGGCATTTTTATGGAGGTATCTGAAACATAGCAATTGCTCAGAGACTATGTATTACTGTCCCTATAATCCCAATGTTGGGCTTGGCAAATTTTTTTGGTAAAGAGCCATTTGGTAAATACCTTAGCCCTTGCAGATTATATAGTCTTGGTTGCAACTACTCAACTCTGCCGTTGTCATAGACAATACATACGTGAGTGAGTGCGGCTGTGTTCCAATGGATCTCATGTATAATAACAAGTAGTGGTCCAGGTTTGGCCATTCCTCTTGGGTTCCCTCTTTTCCTGTTGCTTAGCCTTCCTTTTCCGGCCAGTCTCTCAGGAAGGCCATCTCCTTGTTTG